AGAGAGATGGCTCCCCTTCCTCTTCTGCATCATCCTTGAAGTTCTTCAAAAGGACACACCTATTCCAACCAGGGCCTTTGCACTTGCTGTCCCACTCTGTGTAGAAGGCTCTTCCCTCCAGGCCTTCCTACAATTGGCATCTTCTCATCTAATATCTTCTGCTTGAAAAAGTCTTCCCTGATCACCCAGTATCAGCAGCCTTCACATACCGCCTCACATCATCACAACCTATTCTTTGTAAATAGTTTCTCTTTGGTGCACAGACACCCCAGTAGAAATTAACCTTCAGGAAGGCAGCGCCTTGTTTTAATCACAGCTGCACCCCCTGAGCCCAGCAGGGTGCCTGACACACAGTGAGCGCCTAACTATCTGCTGAATGGATAAATGCATCCCATTTTGGGAGAGCAGGAAGTGCAAGGCTGATGGGAAAGGAAGATAAAAGAAGGGGAGAAATGTGTAAAGACAGCCACAGACCATTTCGGAAAAGCAGCTTTTTCAGAAAACGGGACAGAGGCCAAACCGCGGCTTTTACGAAGAGAGGGATGCAGGACAGCCCAAGGTTGCTGCTGTTTTGGGGAGCGGAGCTTGGAGCAACCTTGAAGGTGGTTATTTCAGAAACTGGGTGCAGATCAACCAGGGTGGTGTTCTTTACGGAAAACGGTGCGTCTTCAGCAAACCAGGCATGGGCGGCCAGCAACCTGGGTCTGGGGTCTCAGGAGACTGGGAGATGCAGAAGCGACCGCTTCGGGCTGCCAAGGGGGTAAAGCCAGGGGTCTGAGGGTGGGAGCGGAACCAATGGGAGGGCGAAGAGGCGACACATAGTCCCAAACACCCAGGTGGGCACTTGAGGGCTGCCGAGGGCTGTTACCTGCAACATCCCGGTTGTCCATCTTGAGACTCATCCAATCCCACAATGCTCCTGTGCCACCTAAGGAGGCCTGTTATAGTACGCGTGACCTGATGGGAGATGTAGTCCTCTTTGGCTAGCCACTCCCTTCCTCTTTGTGGACGCCTGGGGTATTCCCCCTGGAACTCAAGCTTCAGTCTATTCAGCAACTTCTAAGTATCATTCCCGATTACCCTAGGGGGCTTCCCTTTCTCACACCTTCCCAGAACCGCGGTCACTCCAAATACTAACTACATGTTCCAGGATGCTTTGTGTTGCAGCTCTCGCGAGAGCCTCTTGAAACCTAAGCCCCGCCCCGAGCGGTTGCTTCCGCCTCCCCGTGGTGGCCGCTTGTTGTTGTGGAGGCTAAAATGGCGGCTCAGGCGGCTGCCGCGGCCCAAGCGGCTGCGGCGCAGGCAGCGCAGGCCGAGGCGGCCGAGTCGTGGTATCTGGCTCTTCTGGGCTTCGCCGAGCATTTCCGCACTTCCAGTCCGCCCAAGATCCGCCTGTGTGTACACTGCTTGCAGGCCGTGTTCCCTTTCAAGCCTCCGCAGCGCATCGAGGCCCGCACGCACCTGCAGTTGGGCTCTGTACTCTACCACCACACCAAGAACAGTGAGCAGGCACGCAGCCACCTGGAGAAGGCGGTAAGCGCGGAGTGGGCAGTGAGGGAGGAGGTGCGGGCTCCTTGCAAGGCCTGGGCTGACAGGCCGCGACGGACGGGCGGCGCCTCGTCGGGGACCAGGGGGTGCGACCTCAGTAAGACCAGTAGGACCCTCGTCCGCCTCCGCCGGACCCCACAGCCACCAGCCTCTCAGAAGACCCGAGGACCTCGTCCCCCACACACACCTTATTTGCCTTTTATAGGGACAGACAGGGCTGCAGGATCTCCCCTCACCGTACTTTGAGAGTTGTCTCTTCTCAGGAGCAGTAGAATTCCCAAATCGTCAGGATTTTAGGAGGATCCCACCCGATGGTACTGGGGGATACACTTCCAGATCCGTTGCTGAGGAACATTAACCTGAACAGGCAGAACACCTAAAGTGACTTGGGATAGGGGAGGGTTGAGGTGAAAGCCCAGTCATCCTCAGGGAATCTGAAGTCTGGTCTCTCAGGAAACCTTAGAGGGCATTCCCCTTCTTGGGCCCCAAAGTCTGTTACTCAGGGTGTCTGGAAGGTCTGGTGCCATCCATAATGCCTAGTGTCATAGGCGGGAAGCCAAGATCTAGAATCTGGAGTTAGACATTTCATGTCTTGTGAGGAAGCTTACAGCCTGGAATTGGCTGTTTGAGGTTCTATGAAGAAGCAAAACAAGGGATCTGGATTCCAAGACCAGCTGCTCAGTAAGAGTTGACCTCATAGCTCCTGCTTTCTCTCTGGTCACTGTTGGCTTGTCTTCCTTCCTTCTTCCTCTAGTACATCTTCTGAGTAAGCCCCTCCCTCTCCCTCAATTGGTGCAAGAAAGAATATGGGAGAGTGTCATTCTGCCTGTTAATGAACTTTATGGTTGTGGAGTTTCTTCTCACAGCAGCTCTGCTCTTGTGGGATGCTTGATCCTTTCTGCCATTTACCCAGTTCTGTTTTGCTTAAAGGAAAGAGTTCTTAAAAAAACAACAACTCAGGCTTGACGCCTGTAGCTCAGCAGCTAGGGTGCCAGGCACATACACTGGAGCTGGTGGGTTCGAACCCAGTCTGGGTCTGCCAAACAACAATGAGAACCACAACCAAAAAATAGCTGGGCATTGTGGTGGGTGCCTGTAGTCCCAGCTACTTGGGAGGCTGAGGCAAGAGAATCGCTTAAGCCCAAGAGTTTGAGGTTGCTGTGAGCTATGACACCATGGCACTGTACCAGGGGCAACATAGTGAGACTCTGTCTCAAAAAGAAAACAAAAGAAACCCCAGATTTTTAAAATTCATTGATCTGAGGTAAATCCAAGCCCACCTTTAGCTAAGTTGCCTTCAAGAGGAGATCTTTGTTTTACAAACTGAGAAAATTGAAAGGCAACTTTAGTCCTCACTTGATTAACTTCCTTGTTTCAAAAGTGAGGCAATATAGGCCCAGAGAGGTGAAGTGATTTGATCTCCAGACATCATCGTTTTGGGTGAAGTTTTTTTTGAGACAGAGCCTCAAGCTCTCCCCCTGGGTAGAGTGCCGTGGCATCACAGCTGATAGCAACCTCCAACTCCTAGGCTCAAGCGAGTCTCCTGCTTCTGCCTCCCAAGTAGCTGAGACCACAGGCGCCCGCCACAATGCCTGGCCATTTTTTGGTTGCAGCCATCATTGTTGTTTGGTGGGCCTGGGCTGGGGATTTGAACCCGCCACCTTAGGAGTATGTGGCTGGCGCCTTAGCCGCTTGAGCCACAGGCACTGAGCCTTAGATGAAGTTTTTATTTCTTCATTCGTTCAGCAGATATTTGTTCACTTCATGTGGAGTGCCAATACCTGCCCTAGATTCTGGGGATCGGCGATGTCAAAAACACTACCCTTTGTAAGCTTGTTTTAAATGAGGGAGAAAAAGATAAGTGTATAGTGAGAGGTTAGGCACCATTATAAGAAAAATGAAAGCTATGGGCCAAGGAGAAGGATCAGAGTGGAGGTAGAGCTATTTTTGGTAGGGGAAAGGTAGTGAGGGAGTCTCTATTTGTGGGAGTGGCATTTGAGCAGAGGCCTGAATGGGTGGGGTGGGGAGCTTAGAGAAATACAGAGGGCATCACGTCAATGACAAGGAGTCACCAAGCTATTGGGGCAGTCAGTGTCAGGGTCTTTCCAAGACAGTGATGAAGCTGAAATTAAATGGGGAACAAGGCTTCATTGACTACGTTGGTGCTGAAGGCTACAACTGCCTAGGCATAGTGCCCCAACTTCTCCAGTAGTTGCACCAGTTCTGTGACTAGTTCTTTTCCCTTCTGTTAATTAATGACACATCGGCTCGGCACCTATAGCTCAACCGGCTAAGGCACCAGCCACGTACACCTAAGGTGGCGGGTTCGAATCCCCAGCTCAGACCCGCCAAACAATAATGATGGCTGCAACCAAAAAAAAATAGCCGGGCGTTGTGGCGGGCGCCTGTGATCCCAGCTACTTGGGAGGCGAAGGCAGGAGACTCGCTTGAGCCCAGGAGTTGGAGGTTGCTGTGAGCTGTAATGCCATGGCACTCTACCCAGGGG